GTGTTATTTACACTTATGTTTATGTGTCGAATTTTGCTGAAAATGCCTTTTTATGCAATGATATGAAATCAGGTTCTTACTAAAAATCAATATTTCTTGAAATGTATATGTTTGGTCAAATCTTATAAGGTTATGCTTGTTTTAAAATCTGATTTGTATATGTTTTTTTGGTTATTAGAAATGGGAGATAAACGACAATGGTCAAATGCCCATCTAAAATGCTTATTGGAAACTTGCATTGAAGAAGTAAACAATGTGGGTACAAAAGGAGTGAGTTTGCACAAAGATTCATGGATCAAGCTAGGAAGAGTTCTTAAGAAAAAAATTTGGCATGGATGTGACTCAAAAACAAATGAAAAACGCATATGACAATCTGAAAGCCAAATACACAAGATGGCCCAGTAGATCTTCTACACTTTGTTGCTTACCATATTTTTGGAGTTTTCACTAGTATGAGAGAGGTGTGTATAAGTTTGTCAGATCATCCTGAGATATTACGAGGATGGATCAAGATGATGACTACGAGTTTAGGAGTTCTAAAAGACATAAATATTGTTTGATTGTGTTTTATTTATTGTGTTGGAACTCTGATTGGGTTTTTTTATTATATTAGAACCATTGATAGGGTTTTTTTTAGTTGTGTTGGAACCCTTGGTAAACATTGTTCTTCAACTTCTCATCTCTTCTTCGTGCTGCCGCCATCCAGACTAGAACCACTGACTAGCTTCACATAACAAGCTCATATCAGATAACCCTAAAAGTGTCATGCGCTCAGAAAGGAGTGCACCATGCTCGGGCTGAATCCAAAGGGTAAAATGACTTAATCCATTAAGCCAGTTCCCCAAATTCCTAGATTTGATCCTTAACCATGTCCTAATGGATAAAGTTCAAATTTTATCCATTAAGACACTCCAATCAAGCAAGATCTAAACTTTAAGTCTCATGAAGTCCAAGAATGCATCTTTCTTGTCTAAATCTAATAAGTCCAAATCTTCCACTTTCAAATCTAAATGAACAAGATGTATAAATGGATAAAGTTTCCAACTTTATCCGTTACAATGCCACAAACTTTGAAGATCTAAAACCCTAAGTTGAGAAATGACCAAAAACTCAACTTTCTTTATATATGGAGTAAAAAGAGCTCTTATATGCACTCTCTACTTCACCAAGTGGCTATATATCATCCCAAACATCAATCAAAAGCTCAAGAGCTCTTCAAACTCTATGGAAAGCCACCAAGGGACCAAAACTCCATATATTCATAGATCTAAAGATAAAACACAATAAAGCTTGGAACTTTGTGAGTTACAAAGGTCTAGAGGTGAATGGAGGTTGAATACTTCAAATGCATAGCTTCAAGGATCAATCTTTCTTGTTCTTTTTCCTTCTAGAGCACAATACCACATGTAACACCTGCAAGATAGAGCTAGACGATTAAAGAATAATAGGACAAATGTTTATAACAACAATAAATTGATACTCTAAGCAAAATTCAAAGGGATCGTAAAACCGAGAGCGTGCATATGGGGAACGCCCAAATCTCACTTCATATGAGGAAGTTATGATTTTTCGAAGTTTCATCGTAGCAGTATATGACTCAGAAACCGAAACTGAAATGGGTCGATTGTTAGGAAAAACAATCTAAACGGTAATCGAAGATCTTGTTAACAGGAGTCCGTCAACATAAAGACAATCAAGAATGGACATTGAACAAGAGGGTTATGAATTTTTTACAGACTTTAACAGTCTAAGCTTGTTAAAAATAAAACTTTAAAAATAATGTCAAAATTAGACGACAGAGTCTAAATGAAAGTTGTAGATCTCGTCGATGGCTACGCGTGTATATATGGAATATCGAAAACGGAGCTTGTATGAAGAAGATATGATTTTTGTGAAGAAACAGAAAATCCCCGCTTGAGTTCACGTGCGTCGACATGGCATACGACGCACACTGACGCACCACCCAGAAGTTGCCACATGTCACCACCCAGACTACGCCACATCAGCACCCCCGATCGAGTGCTCGACGTGCACCGAATAAGTGCACGACGTGCAAGCCAAAAATGCCCTATAAACAGTGTTGTAAACTCGCCGAGTTGGCCGATTGCTCGTCCGAGTACTCCCTACTCGGACCCTTATCGAGGCGAGTTGTAGAATCCGAGTACTCCCTGATCGGCCCCTTACTGAAGCAAGCAGTGTTGTAAAACTCGGTCACCTCGATGATTAATATGTATAATATACTTAATGATTTATTATTTAACATACACACATGTGATTATTACTACATATATATATATATCTTAAATTTTCAGTAATTATTCACGAAGTGAGACCATTGTGTGTTTTTCAGTAATTTTGTTATATATTTCAATCAACTTATGGTTTTAACTTATGATTTTGGCATATATAAATTCCCTAAAAATCTTTCTACATGAATTGCCGAATCCGAATACTCCTGAGTACTCGCTACTCGGTAGTCGGCCGAACAGGTACCGAGTAGCAAGTTCTACAACCATGCCTATAAATATGATTCAAGCCTCATTCGATTTCCCACACCTTCCAGGTTCTCTCTTGATTTTCTCCCTATTTTGGTTAGAAATCTTCTTTAGAATTAAGTTTTGGCGAAGCTCGGAGGTCCCTAAGAGTCCGACAATTAGAAGCTCTCAAGTAAGAGTTATGCCCGCATAATTCCCGGTTTTCATCAGAGTACTTTGTAAGTTAAGCTACATTTATTTTATTCAAGTGTAAGTTTTAATTATAGTCATAGTCGTTATTATGAACCTATAATTAAGATTTAATAGTGATCCTAAGTCATTATACTGATTGATCTACTTACGAGGATAATGTCTAGGCTGGATTTAGGAGGTGTTTAAAGCGAGATTTCCAAATAGTATACTCTGTATACCAAACAGATCCTACATTCGATATGATCATTCCTGGTTGTTCCGTACTTAATAAATCTTGTTGTACATATTGGGATTGTTGAGGAATTTAGACTATCATTAGTCACAAGGAATATCATACTAAGACTTAGTAATAATCATACCTAGGTCATGTCAAGGGAAACGTCAAAGTACAAAGGCGAAACGCTGCTCAAATTCGGAGACATCCACTTTTAACAAGTGAGTGCATAGTTACTTTCAGCTTACACATAGATATGAAATATCTATTAAATGCTATATGTGCTTGTTATCTGTGTACTTATTATTTTTGCTATATTATGATTTTATTTATAAATTACTTTATCATATTCGTATTGGGTAGTGAAGGGTTTTAGGAAAGATAAAATAAAGGGCTAGGTAGTAATGGGTTTTTGGAAAAATGAAATAATGGTGAGAGGTCACACATTATATTACTGGACCAGTCATCTAACATATAGTATATGTAACGACCACCGACTATTCTAGGTAGTCCAGTGGAATACTAGCAGGTTCACCACCTATAGGTATTAACGATCACACTTTTCAGGGAAAATGAAAGTTGTTCGTTTGGGTACTCTATCCCCCTCTGGGTTGCCTTATTGACACATATTGCTACGTAATCCTCGAAGCAGTATTGTCTATTCACATAAATCCTTGAGGATGGGTCTCTTGAGATTAGTATTAGGGATTTGAGAGTAAGAATAACGGGAATGGGTAATCGGGATTTGTTTGTTTATTGTGAAAAATATATAATTACAATATTGTGGGTTGGAAACCTTATTTGCTCACCAGGTTTCCCAACCCCGACCCACTCAGTTTCTTTGTATCACAAGTAGCGGTACGAAGGTACAATCCATTGAGAGATTCGAGGGGTTTAGTTAATGTAAGGTCTGTAATGATTATGTTTATGCATATGTTTTGTATCAGTTATGACATCCCAAGTTTTTAATAATCAAAGAAAAGAATTTTCTTCGGAAATACTTTTTATGAGACCAATTCTGCATTTATAAAGATCACTCTGATTTAAAATAAGCATAAATAAAACAATCTTTTCGAACCGAGAAAATAAGGGATGTCACATCACATTATACTGCAGTCTGGTAGGCGACCTTCAATATTTGACTTTCACACGTCTAAACATATCCTTTGTGTTTCAACAAATTTATCTATATATGCATCCTCCCAAAGAGCCTCATTTGAATGCTTTCCAATGCATCATGTACTACATACGGATTACCATTAACCATGACCTTCACATTCACATGTCTACTACCACATGCATGATCGCTTATTCTGATGCCGACTGGGGTGGGTGTCCTATCTCTCTTCGGTCGACTAGTGGATACTGTGTATATATTGGTTAAAATCTTATATCATGGTCCTTAAAGCAACATGTGGATATATGTCGGTCTTGTATTGAAGCCGAGTACAAAGGCTTTGCCAACACTGTGGCAAAGACATAATGGCTTCAAAATCTCATGCATGCTGAAGGTCACCATTGTCTACTTTGACAATGTTAGCGCAATTTACTTATCAACCAATCTCGTTCAACATCAGCGCATGAAACACATAAAGATTGCCATTCATTTTGTGCGGGATAAGGTTGCCAGCGGACAGATTCTGGTTCTACAACTTCCTTCTAGTCTTCATAATGTTGATATCTTCATCTAGGGACTCATGTCTTCTCTATTTTCTGATTTTTGGTCCAGTTTGAATGATCGTGTATTAGTGTACATTGTATATAGTAGGGCTAAGCCCATATACATTTTGTAACACTTATTTATTTGTTGAATATCACAAATCCTTATGAGAAAATATTATCCCTAAAGTTAACGTGACAAAACACGGATATGGTTTCTTATATGATTCCCCGAACTGAAAACCATATAAAATAATTTCACCCATGTTGAACTACAAACTAAAAATCGAGATACTTTAACCATAGATTTAATTTATAAAGGGAATATACATTTCAAAGAATTAGTTGCTTTGAAAGAGACACACAACATTCGTCACAAAGTCGACCACAAAATCGGAATAGCCGATCGGACTCGAATAAAAAGCTAAAATTCGAAGTGGAAATGGAATTAAAGCCGAATTAAAAGTGGAATAGGAACTGGACACCACCTACAAAGCAAAGCGGAAACAGCACAACCGACTTCAAATTCATCCACAAACCCAAAAGAACTCCGACCTGGCGGACCCCCCCGATCACGCCATCAACCTCATTCATTCACTACTGAATTTATTGAAATTACATATAATTCAATTTTAAGATATTGGATCAAAGTACGAATTCTAAATCGGATTTTTATTCAGTCGGAAAAAGAAGTACCTCTTCTTCTCCAACCAAACTGTTAAATACGTCATTCTCCCTCAATTTCTTTGCATAAATGTAGGTTTTTATGCAACGTTTGTGTTCAATTCCATCTGGGTTTTCTTGAAATTGCAAAATTCGAGTGAAAGTTCAGTGATTTTTGTGCGTTTTGGAGGAGACACTCTCCTTTTGATTTTGTTGTTCGGAATTTGATGCTATGACGGCTGGGGAGCATCGGAATGGTAGAGATATCATTTGCGACGCCGTTTCTGGTGCCTCCGCAGGTATATTCTTCAATTTAGGTTTTGTTAGAACTACCAGAAGATTCTTTATCGTCTGATTTTAGTTCCCTTATGCAACAAATTGCCACTCTAAGCAAGAAATTTTCACCTTCAATTTCAGCATTGTTGAATCAATCCCATATATGTAATGTTAATGTAGGTTTGAATGTTGAGAAAGATAGAATTTTTTTTCCTCTTGTTTGTACAGTTGAATGTGCATTTTTAGAAAGATTAAGTGTATAAAATCTGATTATTTTGACCTTGAATAATTAAAAGATCATAAGATAGATTTCATGTTGTTGTATAGGTGCTATAGCTGCCACTTTTGTGTGTCCATTAGATGTGATCAAGACAAGACTCCAAGTTCACGGGCTGCCCAAAGTACCTCCCGGGCAGAAAGGTAGTTTAAAACTCTTCTATTCTTATCTTATTATAGTTTACATATATATATGTATATATTATGTTTAGAAATGAAAGGAAGAAATAAATGAGGGGAAATTTGTACAAAGTTAGGACTTAATGAGGAAATCCTTATTCCCCTATCTTTTCTCTATATATTATGCTTTCTGTATTAAGTCAAAAGGAAACACTCTGTTAAAAAAACAGTAGCTTGTGAGTGATATTCTTTTTGTCTTCTCAGGTGGTGTCATTGTCACAAGTCTACAAAACATTATAAGAAAAGACGGGTTAAGAGGAATATATAGAGGCCTTTCACCAACATTAGCTGCTCTACTTCCAAATTGGGCAGTGAGTATTAACTCTTAACATTACAATATACCAAATTAACTTTACATGTTGACATGTTGTTATAATCATCAATAATATTCTACTTTTTAATTTTTCCATATAGGTTTATTTTGCTGTTTATGGGCACCTCAAAGAGCTTCTTCATTCACATGGTTTTTCCATTTAATACTCTTCAAACTTCTCCATACATATAATTCATATGCTTTTCTTCGATTTAAAATATATTTTTTTCTTTTTATATATATGCAGCCGATAGCAATGGGCATCTTAGCTTTGGTGCCAACATGATAGCTGCTTCGGGTGCTGGTGCAGCCACATCAATTGCCACAAATCCTTTGTGGGTTGTCAAGACAAGATTGCAAGTATGTTTTTTTTATCAGTCAAATGTATATATTACATTAATAAATGAACAAAATAAAAGAATCTTGTGGACTTTGAAATGACGATAGAAAACAATTGTGTGATTTTGGCTTAATTGGAAATGATGTTTGTTTTAGACACAAGGAATGAGAGTAGGTGTGGTTCCTTATACGGGTATATTATCAGCCTTGAGAAGAATCATACAGGAGGAAGGCTTCCGAGGGTGGTACAGGTACGCTTCATGAGTTGTACCTTTACAAAAATCGAATTCTTGTTGACTTATGCAAGTTTGTATTTTTTGTTTTTGACAGTGGGCTTTTACCTTCTCTTGCTGGAATTAGTCATGTTGCTATTCAATTTCCTGCGTATGAGAAGTTCAAATGTTACTTGGCACAAAGGGGTAAAATCTAAATAGTCCTTTCGCAACTTACTTGAAAACATTAACCTATTTGTCAAAGTTAATTTGTAGTTGAAGGGTAATTTAGTCATTTAATTTGTGAGACGGAGTTCATATAAAGTTGATTGTATCTATTTCAAGTGATCAGATAATACGACTACAAACAAGCTAAGCCCTGGGAAAGTTGCAGTCGCCTCTTCAATGTCCAAAGTACTTGCGTCCCTAATGACCTACCCACATGAGGTAATTTTGTAATTTTGATTGCTTCCGTTTTCTTTTCGGGGGCAATTTTGGAAGAAGTAATATATATAGGAACCTCAGGTGATTAGGTCAAGGCTTCAGGAACAGGGGCAAGTAAGAAACAGTGGGACCCATTACAAGGGTGTGGTCGATTGTGTGAAGAAAGTTTTTCACAAAGAAGGCGTTGCGGGATTCTACCGTGGATGTGCGACTAATCTTCTGAGAACGACTCCATCGGCGGTTATTACATTTACAAGCTACGAGATGATTAGCAGGTTCTTGCAGGGTATCATTCCACCTCGTGAAAACCCATCTAAAACTGGCACGTGATATGATAGATGATGATGATGATTTGATGAAACTTGAAGGTCTGGAGATCATGTTATTGAATTGCGGGAGTCTGAAATTGAGTCCAATAGTAGTCCAAGAGCACTGTTAGGGGGAGTTGTTAAATGTTGTTTCTGTGTGCTATACTTGTCGAGTTTGAGTCTCGGCAGCCTCATTAGGAGTTTCAGAAAAGTGTTTTTTCCCCTTGAGGATATTTTTAGAAAAATAATAGTAAATGTAGATTTTTTTTTTTCAGATTTTGTTACTACATTAAATGTTTAAGAGCATGGACCGACCCTACCTGACTGGAAGCATACACCATAAAGGCGTAAGTGATGAGACTCAAAAGAGCAGTTTAACATCTCCAATAACTAATTTTCTGAATGCGTTATGTAATTTAATTATTTGTGTATTTAATTAAGTCAAACATTAAAGATTTAAAGGTGTTAGTTTGTGTTTTGGAAAAAAATATTCTGACCTTTTATGTCTAGGGTGGAAAATTATTTAAAGAAAAGACTATTTACTTGCTTTTCAAAAGACATAAAAAAGTAGAAAAAACAACTTTTGATTTTGGATTACGTTTTCTAAATTCTAAATTCTAACATATGTGATATTTCTTTTTTTCTAAATTCTAAATTCTAACCATATGTGATATTTCTTTTTACACCACTAATATCACCATTGCCACCACCACAACTACCATCTCGGCGCCACCAACACCACGTGTCTGTTTTTTTTTATGAAGACTTTAAACATAACTGAAAATGGTATCTTTGCACCTTAGCCCAAGTAGACAACTAAAATGAGGCCAAGGCCCTTTGAGAAGGAATGATAGTTACCTTTGCTGATTTTGTGTTTTATTAGATTTGTATAAAAATTTTACTTAACATTTGAAAGTGAAATCTTACTCCTTCAAAATAAAAACTATAATCAAATTGTATATTCCACGCTCCTTTTGCAAACATTCTAGATCCACCGTTATCTTTTACTCCCCTTAATATATTCTTTAACTTTAACAATAGATGTTTCCTCTCTTACATTTTCATTAAATTAATTAGTCTTGTTGATTTGGTGTTTCAAAGAAAGGCAAAATGATAACTGCTAGTGGAGCAAGAACCATGGACTTGGTCTTTATAGTTTGTCTTTATCGGTAAAGGTGTATTTCATCAAAATTTTAGTCCACTTGTTTAAAAGACTTAGTTGGTTTTTATTGAAACTACAAGTCAATTGCTGGTTTTCCACATGGTAAACCATCTTAATTTATTCATATTTCCTTGATGCTGTAAAAACACAAATAATCATGTGAAAGCTTATGTTATACCTTGATAGCTTTCTTCAAGTGCGTTATTTCCATTGATTCAGGGATACAACTTTACCAATTGGTCCAACAGTAGACTCATCCTAAGGTCAACTTCATGGTCTAATATTTCTGTCGGTAACAAAGTACATACTTTTTTTTATAGGAAGACGTGATATTTGGAAATTTAAGAAAACAGTGTGTAACTTCTAAAAATGTCTTATTCGTCGGTTTGGATTATGCCATTATTATGAGTTGAAAAGTATTAGACGTGGCATAAATGGGAACCACATATAATTTTCCAAATGATATTTTGGCGTTAGAAAAGGGGTAAGGATGATTGGAGGAGAAGAGAAGGGTGACTCAAAAGTCTTGTTCGTCTTTTTCAATAAGGAGAAAATTACAAAAGTGCTGGGATTTCTATCCTTTTGGCATGCACGTTGGGGCAATTAGCTGAGTCTTTGAGTGAGAAAGCTTATTAAATGTTACATAAGACCTAACATCGTTCAGCCCAACTGTTCCAAAGAGCAAAGACTTCCTTTACAAAGCACATACACCTAGAAGACACATACAATGGAGTCTCACGAACACAGGTGATATATATAGTAAGTGTCTTAACTACCTTTTTCTTGTTTAGACATTTGAAATGATTCTCGTATTCTTTTTTGCGTCCGTTCTTCTCTCATGTCTACCTTTCATTCACTCTGCTACAAACCACAACACTTCCATTCCTATCTGCCCAAAAAGTTTCACTTGCCCAAATTTGGAACCATTTAGTTACCCATTTTATAACGCCAATGACACACAGTGTGGGTTGATTAAGGTCAATTGTACTTCAAATGGTACAAATCTGAATTTCAGAGGAGATTTATACGAGGTTGGAGGCAACTATAGATCTGATTCTCGTCCATCCGTCCTGGTCCTTGTCCTTAACAAAAAGTTTGAAAAACTTGTAAATGATAAAAAGTGTGAGGCACTTGAGTATAATTTCACTTCTCCAAGTCCTCTTATGTATTCTAGTTCAATCACACCTTTCACCAATGTCTACAAATGCACCAACAATACCAATTATGCTGAAGAAATGGATGCTTATTTTAACCAATCTACTTACAATAGATACACCAGATGCAAACCATACAATTTCTATTATAAGTCTAACATAAGCGATACAACAGTTCCAACTCATCTCCCACCTATATGTGAAATCATACAGCTGCCTGTGAATGTGCAATTTAATCGCACCAGAATACCCGACAAAACCGACATATTTTCTCTTCTTGGTTTTGAATTCACCATTACATTTAATTTGTCAAGTTCCTGCAATGAATGTCGCAATAAAGACGGCCAGTGTGATACTCGCGATGGACATTTTCAGTGTTTAGGCACCAAAAAAAGGTAATTACACCTTTTTTTTTTCCCTATTTCAAGGTACACCTGAGTTGATAGGTCTAACATATAGTATAACTTATCTTTTGTTGTTTCCTTGCTACAGAAAACCCAATCAGAAAACAGCTGAAACATATCCTAGGTAACTTACCTCTTTCATCCAATGCATTACTACTGAATATATATAAATGTATACACACACATACATGTAGGAATTTTACCTGAAGGTGATATATTTTCCTGCTCTAGTTCTCGCTGGATCTGCGTTCATCCTCATCCTCTTTATTGTCATCTCCATAATCTGGTGTCGGTACAAGAACAGCGCTTTTTCCTATTTCTCATCAAAGGACAAATCACCACATGTTGAAGATGGTAGTATTTTCTTCGGTGTCTCTGTTTTCTCCTATACGGAACTGGAAGATGCCACCCAGAATTTTGACCCTTCTCAGGAACTAGGGAATGGAGGTTTTGGAGCTGTTTACTATGGTAAACTCCAAGATGGGAGAGAAGTTGCAGTGAAGAGACTTTACGAGCACAATTACAAACGAGTCCAACAATTTGTGAATGAGATTAGAATCCTCACCAGATTACGCCACCCCAACCTTGTGGTGCTGTATGGTTGCACCTCTCGACAAAGCCATGAACTTCTCCTTGTGTATGAATACATCTCCAATGGAACTGTTGCAGATCACCTCCATGGCAAACAAGCAAATTCAAGCTTGCTGACATGGCCGTTGAGGATGAACATAGCCATCGAAACTGCCAGAGCGTTAGTGTATCTTCATGCCTCTGAAATCATACATCGAGATGTCAAGACTAGTAACATTCTCCTTGATCAGAATTTCAGTGCCAAGGTAGCGGACTTTGGGCTCTCAAGGCTCTTACCGAATGATGTCACTCATGTGTCTACAGCTCCTCAGGGAACCCCAGGATACGTGGATCCCCAATATCACCATTGTTACCAATTAACGGATAAGAGTGATGTTTACAGCTTTGGAGTGGTATTGATTGAACTAATATCATCAATGGTGGCTGTCGATTTAAGCAGGTCACAAGATGAGATTAGTTTGGCTGATCTAGCTTTGAACAGGATACAAAGATGTGCGTTAGATCAATTGATAGACCCGGATCTAGGATCCGATTCAGATGCTGAAATCATGAGGATGATAACATCAGTGGCAGAGTTGGCTTTTCAGTGTTTACAGTATTATTCAGAAATGAGGCCTACGATGAGTGAGGTGTTGGATGTGTTGGAGGATATTCAAGCCCCAGGGAGAATTGATTCTATAAAACCGCCAACACCGTCTGAAACCAGTGATAAGACGGTTTTGTTGAAAGACTTCCTGCCTTCGCCAGTCTCCGTCACCGGTGAATGGCATAGCGAAAGCACCGTGTCAACTACACTAAGCATTAGATAGATTCCCAGTGAAGAGTCGTATCAGAACCAAGAATCGTCATGTATATTCAGGAACACAATATGGTTTCTGTTCTATTTCTCTCCATCGTTTCTATGCCCTAAGTATGAAAGTTTTCATGTTATCAGCAAAAGGAATGTAAATAATATTAAGATGCATCATTTGTTGGGTTCAAAGATACTTTTATTCTGAAAAGAAAGATGTTACACAAAGAAAAAACAAGCCTCTATGCTAATACTCATTTTTATTCTGAAACAAAAGAAAGATCTTACACACCCAATACAAGAAAAACAAGCTTTTAGGCTAATACTCATTCTAAGTATTACTGTCTAACACTTTCTGTGTTGTGGTGTCTTACACCTTATGTTAGAGGCTTAAAGCTTATATTTATAGCTAAACCAACTAATATATCTATGTTTTGTGGTGTCTTACACCTTATGTTAGAGGCTTAGTGTAACACCCATAAAATTCAAGCCAATTTAAAACATTTTAACCCATTCAAAAACCATTAAGTTATTACAACTTGCTTTCAAAATAGTTTAAACATCAGAGTATCCCCAGAACCAAATCATAAAATCATGAAATATGAGGAGCGGTACGATCACGCCTTTGCCTTGCCACGATCACCTGATGTACCTGAAACAATAAACTGAAAACCGTAAGCTCGAAAGCTTAGTGAGTTTCCCCAAAATACCCGTACACACATAACCATACACATACAACCATGAACAACATACTATGGGTCCAGTCAACCGTCAGGTTGGAATACCCCAGGCCCTCAACCATCGGGTTGGAATGCCTACATACTACGAGCCCAATCATCCTACCGGGATGGAATACTCTCGGCCCACAACCATCGGGTTGGAATGCCCATACATCTACACGTACAATAATAACTACTATGGGTCCAATCATCTCGCAAGATGGAATACCCCAGGCCCCTCAACCATCGGGTTGGAATGCCAACATACTATGAGTCCAATCATCCTACCGGGATGGAATACTCCTGGCCCACAACCATCGGGTTGGAATGCCCACATACTAACAAACATGTGCACCTATCAAATAATCATATAACAGTCTGCAAGACAACATACTAGGGCCTTATCATCCTACCGGGATGGAATACCCTCTACTACTGCTCAACACGTGCACATATAACAGGTAATCTCCTACCAGCATACAGACATTCAGACCAACTACCGGTCACTAAGCATAGCCACATCCAATCTACCAGAATACCGATCTAACAGAGCATACCATCATATAACCATCCTATCTACCAGGATGCCAACTAACATATCACATCAGTAACTATCTCAAATAACAAATCAAAGGGCCGGCCTAGGTGCCTTAGACCCTTGGGTATAGTGAGGATAACTCACCTTGCAACTGCTGAACCGAACCACGAAAGCACAATCCCGAAGCACTGCCCCAAACTCCAACACCTATAGCCATCAATGATCCATTGACATAAATATCCAAATTACCATAATACCCCTGAAGGTCAAACTGGTCAAAGTCAAAGTCCTGGCTAAGGTCAACTTTCCTGATTGACCCTACTCGCCGAGTCAACCCGCTGACTCGCTGAGTTCCCAACTTCAGAAAACTCTCATTTCATGACTCGACTCGCCGAGTCGCTCCAGGACTCGCCGAGTTCAACAATCTCTGAGTCCTATCATGTCCAACTCACTGAGTCACCACTCAACTCACTGATCTGAGTCTCAACCAGAAGAGGTTGGGGTTTTGTGTTCTGACTCGCCGAGTCCACAACAATCTTCAACAGACTCGCCGAGTTGTTCCTCCAACTCGTCGAGTTCATGCCTATCTTCAACGGACTCACCGAGTCCAAGAACAGACTCGCCGAGTCTCTTCAGTCCTTTATACATGCAGAGGCTTTTCGAGTCTTGTAGGGGCTCCAAACTATAGATCCACTCTTCTAGGGCATGACTCTCACGTAAAGTTGCAAACTCTACGTGGAAACAAGGAGTTATAAGCCCAAATCACTCTAGGGCTAAGGTTTAAGACAATGATGCTTCACCAACAAGCCAAGGGCTGATACTTTGTGAGGTTCTGGACCAAGACAAGTCCGGATCTGAAGTAGCAACCTCAGATCTAGGCCCCTAACCCGAATTAGATCCTTAACATGCCAAAATGGCCCCAAATATCGTTCTTGAATAGATATAAATGCAATAGAGTCAAGGTAACAGCTTGTTACCTCTAAAATGTGCCCAAGCTGAAGTAGATTCTGGATCTACACCAATCCCTTGATGCTCTACACTTTGATCTACAAGCCTTCTTTGCTAGAATCTCCTTCCAAAGCTTCCAAGTTCACTCCAAAGGCTCACACACGATTCTAGGGTTTTCTGACTCTCAAGGGGTGACAAAGAGGCTGAGGTGAGGACTTAAGGTCCTTTAAATAGGGTGCAAGCCCTAAGATTAGGGTTTTCTCTTCCCAGCACCAACTCGTCGAGTCCAGCTTCTGACTCGGCGAGTTGGTCACTTAATTCGCGACCAAATCCCGCTCCGACTCGACGAGTACTCGCACCTACTCGTCGAGTAGCTTCCTCAATGTACACTTTAAGCCCTTATATCATATTTCTGAAATTTGGGATGTTACACTTAGAGCTTATATTTATAACTAAACCAACTACTATAACTAACCGTTACACTTTATTGTGTTCACCATGTGAATTTAAGAATTTTCCATTGTCAAAAAGTGGCTATGTGGAATTTCGTACTCCTACCAAGTTGAATTTGAACTCACAATCTCTCCCTTAAACCAAACTTGGCTCGAGATTTGTCACACTGATTATTTTTTGCATTTTATCGTGCTTCACGTATGTTAAATTCTTTGTAAAGATGATCACTCGTTGATCCTTCGAGTGGACATATTACACTATAATTTGCCTACATTCAACACATTTTCGTATAAAGTGACAATGGATGTCAATGTGTTTCCTTCGACCATGAAACACAAGATGTTTCATTAACGTAACTACTGACTTGTTATCGACATTCAAAGTGATAAACATGATATGATGTCTCGTGGGCTCTTTTACAAGATTCGAAAGCCAAATGGCTTGACATGCTACTGTTGTGGTTGTCAGAAACTCAACTTCACATGTGGATAAGACACCAATATTTTGCTTTTGAGATTGCCAAGTGATCGTATTCCTTCCAAGATAGAAAATCATCCCACTTGTGCTCTTTCTATCAACAAGGTCACCTCCAAGATCACTATCTGTAAAACCAACCAAGTCTTCAATTTCACGAACTATTCCATAGTTGAGTCTATAGTTAATGGCTCCTTTCACATATCGTAAGATGTGTTTCAAAACTTGAAAATGTAAAGTGGTCGGTTACTCCATGAAACGACTTGCAATTCCAACAAAAAATGACAAGTCAGGACGAGTGTGAGTCAAGTGCCTCAAATAACCCACCACTCGACTACATTTGGTTGGGTCGCCTTTAATAACTAACTTCATCCTTCTTGACCTTTAGGTTCCATTGGTGATTTTGTTGGATTGCAATCTAGCAACCCAAAATTGCTCTAAAATCTTCTTTATAAAAATTGTTAGTTATAAAGATATTCTCCACTTCTTTTGCGATACTTTGATTCCAAGGTAGTAAGAAAGTAAATTGATATTGCCATAATTAGCAATATATTTTAGGTAATTATCTTAACAAAATATTCTAGAATGTTGTATTTATAGATAAATGCTACTTAATAAGCTTTAAATTGAAAAAATGTAGATAAATTCATAGCTAGTTGATAAAAGGAAAGGATTGGAGCTGAATGGAACTGATAAGGATTAATAATTAAGATAAAGCCAAAAACAAATAATCGTGACGCGATATCTACAAGCAACGACACGACACATGTTTAGAGTACTAGTAAAACCCCAAAATTTCCAAATCCGCGATGCGGCAATGAGCTTCTCACGTCGCGATATCCCTGTTTCCATAAGCTATAAATATAGACCTTCTCATTCATTTCAAGAGGTGCTGGCTTGAGAAACATTCAAAGTTACGAATTTTAGAAGTTTAGAAGCATTTTCAAGGCTGATGAACACAATTGAATTTTGTGTTTGAAGATCGAAGATCTATATCATTAGATTTCAAATTGGTTTTCATTTATATTCCATGTATTGCAATTTCATTATAACTTCTTCTTGTTTTCTAGATTCGATTACAGGCTAATCCCCTTTACTTCTGCTTAGATTGATGAACCCCTTTTGAAAATGGATTGATTATTAGTTTAAAATTTATTAAGTTATTTATTTATTATGTTTTTTTGATCGTTCACCTTATGTGTTAAAGTTTCGATCTTTATTACCTGTTACCGAGTTAATAGAGTTTAGAGGACCAATATGACCTTGTTAATTTGAGTCATAGTTGTCAAAGACCTTGGTAATTATGACTAGAGATGGACCAAATCCCCGGGTTAGGTAATAAAATCGTTAACTTAAATGTGTAAGAGAGTATTAGATATCTATGCTATGGTTTGATGAACTATGATGACCATTGATAAGGAATCAGTAGATCAAGTCTCTCATAATTCAAGCATTTAATTGATTATTTAGTTAGCTAATTACATGATCATTGTGATAGTTTGCTTATAATTATTAGTATTAGTTAATCGGACCAAGATATCTAATCACATTATAAATCGGTAATTAACTTGTTAAATTCAATGCACTACTAAGAAATCAACCATAGGAAAGAGGGGAAATTTGTAATATAAGTGGAAATACTTCCAACATATTGTCTAAAAACTCTTCTTAGTTTTTTTTCTAGTTATTAGTTATTAAAATTGATAATCTAAAAACCCCCCTTTTACTTTTATGTTTCTACTTTAATTAAATAGCTTTATTTTCTGAATCAAATCATACTCGTTCCCCAAGAGTTCGATACCATTTCTTACCTTATACTACATTACTTCACGATTAGGTACACTGCATATTGTGTTAGAACTAGTTGGGATTGGATTGGAATTATAA